TCTGGTATTCACCCAGACCGTCTGGTATTCTCACCTCCTGTCCAGTAAAAATATTCAGAGAATACCGGATACCTAAAATGTCCGGTATTTTCTGATTTTTAACCTGGCCAGGAGGAAAAAATGCCGGGCACCTGGCAACCCTACAAACTCTATGGCTGTAGAGAACTCATTATTTCTCTCTGTAAGTTGTCTAAGTGCCACTACATGGGCCCATGAACCACACCCACTAGGTATGTTGGTTACACACACTCACTCACATGCCTCAATTGGGGCAGTGTTGACAAGAGTGCCCTACACTAGAGAAGTAGTTTCAAAATTAAATCAGAGTTAGAGGGGTGAACAGTGCCTCTGAAGCTGCTATTTCAGGCTCTCTGCAGAACCAGGCAGACACAACTGCATTAGTTATACTTTGGTTACATTTTCAAGTTTTTTTTTTTTTTTTTTTTTTTTTTTTTGAGAGGGGGGTTGGTATTTTTGTTTCAACCATCTGGCAACTCTAGAAGTCATCTTCCTGCTCCTCTTTCACCCTCCCTCCTCTTCTTGTGAAAACAGCTTAGACACCTAACAGCAAGAGAGGGTTTGTAACTGAGAAGCCCAAGCAGAGCGATGCACCTCCCCTGCAGTCTGGATGTAGGTGCCCCTCGCTCTGAAACAGGGGGAGGGACTTATCACATCCCCTCCCCCTTGGTTTGGCCTCTCCCCTTGGCTAGCTTAGGCAAGGAGTCATCCAGCATGCTGGGTTTTGTGAATCCTCTCTCATTTCATTCATTGTATAGGGGGCCTAAAAGCCAAATAGAGGCTTTGAGAATCCTGGTGATTTTCTAGGTGTCTAAAGTTTAGGTAAGGTGAGACTGAACATGGCCCGGCCTGAGTTTCTTTGTGAACCTAGCCCACACTTAGCCAAGTGGTATGCCCAAGGGTGAGCATGCATTTTCCCAAATAAACTACTGCGTTCAGATTTGAATGTCCGCCCCTTTTTATCACTCTCATGCCTTTCCACGTGTTTTTCAAAATCTAACTTCCCAAAGGTGCAGGTTAAAATGATAACCCCTCCCAATGCAAACACAGACACTGTCACTTGTCTCTTGCCATTCTTCTATGCAGTTTTAAGCAGTCTGTGCTTTCAGTCCATATTTCTTCCTTTTGCTTGACGAGAGATAGCTAATTCATTGGCCATCATAACCCATATCTGAGTAGTTTAACTGAGTGGTACATCAATAAGAGGCAAGTATTCCTTGATTTCATTTAGGCTTACGTGTGATTCCTTTCATGTATGTATTTTTAGGATGCACTGAAAGCTTGCCCTTTAGTTTTTATTTTACAGAAGAGAAAAACTTAGTTATCCTTAATGTTCTATTTTCAGTTTCAGAATAATGTCATTCACATTGTAGATTAAGCATCGAGAATCCATGTACACACAAAGCACAATAGCACAAACACTGAAGCTGCCACTCATAAAATCCGCCTAGTCCATACATTTCAAATGAATCAACACAGAATCATAAAAATATAGCATTGGAAGACACCTCAATAGGTCATCCAGTCCACTCCACCAAATGGAGGCAAGACTAAGAGTGTGTCTAGACTACAGAGTTGTGTCGACAAAAGTGGACTTTTGTCGACAAAACTATACCTGCGTCTACACTACCACTGAGTTCTGTCAACATAACATCGACAGAACTCAGCAGTTTTGTCGACGCTGGTAAACCTCATTTTACGAGGCATAACGCCTTCTGTCGACAGAGTTCTGTCGACAGAAGGTGTTATTGCATCTAGGGTTGTGTCTAGACTACAGGGTTGTGTCGACAAAGCAGCTTGCTTTGTCGACAGAACTGAATGTAGTCTAGACGCTCTTTGTCGACAGAAGCTTTGTCTACAGTATCTGTCGACAAAAGTTCTGTCAACAAAAGCCAGTAGTCTAGACGTACCCTAAGTATTATCTAAACTATCCCTGAGAGGTGTTTAACCTGTTTTTTAAAACCTTCAATGACAAAGATTCCACAACACCCCTAAATAATTGTTCTGATGTTTATCTACCCTTACAGTTAGGAAGTTTTTCCTAATGTTTAAACTAAATCACCATTATTTCTTGTCCTGTCCTCAGTAGATAATGGGGGGTGGGGAGAATCACCTTTTATGTACTTGAAGGCCGTTATATTTCCTCCAACCCCTTCTCTTCTCCACACTAAACAAAACCCCTTTTCTGACTAACTTTTCCTTGTAGAACGTTTTCTAGACTTTTAATCATTTCTGCTGCGCTCCTCTGGACTTTCTCCAATGTGTCCACATCTTTCCCTGAAGGATGGTGCACAGAACTAGACACAGGACTCTAGCGGAGGCCTTATCAGCACTGAATAGAGTGGAAGAATTCTTTTCATGACTTGCCTACACATTCTCCTGCTTATACATTCCAGAATGATGCATAGAAAAACCATGAAATAATTTTTAATGCAACAAAAGAAACAGTATTATATTTTCAAGATTTTAAAGAACCACAGCACACTTTCAGACAGAAAGATGAGCTTACACTGATAGTTTAGTAATTTAGGCCATAATCCTGAAGTCCCTAACTATTCAGGACTCCTGTGTAAGACCTTACTGGTGATTTAATATCCTATGCTATGTCTACACAGCAGCATTATTTTGGAAAAACTGACATTATTCCAAAATAACAAAGAGCGTGGCTACACTGCAAGCCTTTATTTCAAAATAACGGCAAGCCGAAAGACTTCTTACTCCAATTCCTGTAACCCTCATTTTACAAGGAGTAAGGGAAGTCAAAGGAAGAGTGTTCTTTTGACTTCCTGTAGCGCAGAGAACGCCAAAAGCTGAGTTAAGCTATTTTGATTAAAGCTACGCAATTGACATAGCTCAAGTTGCATAGCTTAATTCAAATTTTGCCCTGCTGTGTAGACATACCCCTAGTGTAGGACTACCTGAGTTCACAAGCAAAAGGAACTTTACTGCATAGAGAACACAGTGGTCTAAATCCCAACTGTGGAAAAACCTGCAGGTAGCACAATTTATAATTTGCATCTGCTATTTTTAAAAGGGGTTCCTCTGCACCAGTGTAGCCATGTAATTGTATAGAGCATCTCTCAGGAGAGAACAAGAAATGGGTAATAAAAAGATGTGAATGGGCATCCCACAATTTGATGGCTAAGAGACAAACAAAGAGCCCTAGAGCCATTCCAATCATGACATTGGCAGCAGTTCCAAGCAAGAGGGTTCTTTTTCCAACTTATGAATGAAGAGTTTCACAATGACGCCTGTTCCCCACAATCCTCCTATATTGAACATGTATTTGGACCAAAACTGTGGCTCTGAAGACATCCCCAAATTATAGGGTGTTCCCATTTCAGATTCGAAATTCAAGTCAGGACCCATGAAGAATTCCCAGAAGAATTGAGTTCCTACTTTTAATCAGTCGTACCTGCTCATACCAATCAGAACCACAAACAAGGACTCACTTCAGATCTTTATTTCAAAAATCATATTTGCTAAAAAAAAAAAACCCGAATAATGATCCAATGCTATATTACAGGTTTGATGGCTAACGAGAATAAATAGCTTTCTTAATGAATAGCAATAGATCAGCAATGAGAAGAATGCCTAGCCCAACGATGAAATGGAAACACTGGAAGGGAATATAGATTTGTATATAAATACCTTAGTTACATTCTTCTTAAATAAGATTAAACAACATTCATTGGCCTCTTTAAAACATACAACTTTGCGGCAAGGGATTCATCTCCTTTCACGGCAATCAATTCTCTCACTCGTGGCTATGGCAATTTTAAAATTATGGCCTCAATTCAGTATTCAGTGAATGCAGCGAAAATGGCTTGTCACTGGTGTAAGGAGATCCCAAGATTCCAAGGGTCAAGGCCACAGCGGATATAAATCACAGCTCCATTTAAACTGCGGAATCTCCTTCCAAACCCTAGATTGGATTCCGATAGGGAAATATAGACTTTCCTCAGGATGCCCATCACCCTTTTTTTTTTTCTCCTATAAACAAATGTTAACAAAATAAGCTCCTGACACCCCATTAGCATCTCCTTTTAGGCTACCACAAACAGACATTAAAACAAGAAACTCCTTCGGGGGTCACTCGTAAAAGAATTTAATAGGCGAGTCAATCTATCCTTCCACGCACCCTCCGTATCACGCCACCTTGGTCTCCTGCCGAACGTGCGCTCTTCATTTTAACCTGCTTTTACGTAGCAGGTCCCAACTCCAGTGCAGGATTCCAAGCCCGGCTGCTCCCCTCACCCAGTCTATTTACGGGATGCTTTCACTTCCCCCGAGACATGCAAAGGGCTTCTGGAATGATTGTACGATAGCAACATTTACATTTTGTAGGATACAGTCAACTCAAAGGGACCCAATCCCGCTCTGGCAGGTCAGGATCAGGCCCTGTGTGCGTAAAGTGCTGCCCAGGCAGGTAAGAGACCTGCTCTTGCAGAGCAGTAGATGCTGAGCACTTCCCCCATATGGAACTCAGATTCTTCAGCTCTCCTTGGCCTCGCTATGAGCTGCAGGCACTAGGTAGCTGCAGCAAGAATCCCGCATTGCCACCGGATGTAGTTCACTTCAGCAGTAACCGGTCTGGAAGCTCAGGAGCGTGACTCTAATTTCTGCAGCACAGGCCTGAGGCACTGTTCCAGGGAGGCGGTTCGTGCTCTTGTTCCTAACGGGACTGGACCAGTTCATCCCAAGAGATGGGTGCTTGGGAGGTCTTTGGTGCTACAAAGTTCTATTCAGACTGACTGGCGTATTTCCTATGTTTTGACTAAGAAGTAGTGCAAAATGCAAGCTTCAGGGGAAAAAGAACCACAACCTTCACTGTTAAAAAGATAAAGAATCCGTGAGATGAACGCTCTGTAGTGGGGAGGGAAAACATTTGGCACGTATTAAAAGATCCCATAAGATTGTCTTAGTAAACCAAATAGGATCACATTTTCAAATCATATCCTTAAAAAGGAGCACCATAAGATTGTCTTAGTAAACCAAATATGCTCCTTTTTAAGGATATTATTTGAAAATGTGATCCTAACAAACAACTCATCACAAACAAGTTGAAACTATAACCATGATGCAACGGATCTTGCTGCACAAGTACAGCTTGAACGACATGCCGGGCCGTTAAAAGTTCCTTCGTGCTTTTTGCAGCCAAGTTTGATTCAATGTGATTTTGTTTGCATGGAATGATATGAATTCATTCAGAGGGGTATTATTTTGGAGTGGAAAGGACCGATTCCCACATCATTTGAGAGGGGGTTTAGATACCCTTATTTGGCCATAGGCTGCACAAGCAAAGGCCAGTTTTTAAAAACATGCCTCAACTTAGCGCCTATTATGAGGTAATTGCGTCAAGCATTTCAAATACAATTATCATGTGAAGTGTCCGACATGTTTGAGTCTGAAAATTTGCAATAACAAATTTGTATTGTAACAAGCCAGGCTACATGGCAGATGTTTATACTGGATTGCTTATTTAGGAGATGAGCCTTGCAAATTTGGGGGGCTTAGTCCTTGAACAGCTTCTCAATTCCTCCCCTCATCCGTCCCCCACCCACAGAATTCAATGGGAGGCACATCCAGCAACTCTCAGAAAGCACTGAGGGCCAGATTTACAATGGCAATTAGGCATCTACCTATGCAGACAGTCACCTAGTGGGATTTTCAGAAGGGCCTAAGCAAGTTAACATCAATGAGAATTAGGTGTCTAACCTGCTTAAGTGCTTTTGAAAATCCCTCTCAGCACCGATTTCCCTTAAATACCTAAATACCTTTGAAAATCTTGGGCTTGCACGTCTTGGAGAAGCTAAATCCTTTTCCTAATGACTGACATCAATGACCAAAAAAACCAACAGATTTCCCTAATGCCGAACTGAGGGTTAGTCTAGATTGTAGAGCTTTTTCAGGATACCAGCGGTATCCCAGAAAAGCTCTGCTTTGTCCAAGGAATGTGTCCACTTTTCCAAAAAAATTGTCGAAAAAGCAGACACGTTTTGTCGGCATCCCTGTAAACCTCGTTTTATGAGGAAGAAGGGATGTTCCAAAAGAAGGTTTTTCCCCAAAATTCAGCCAAATTTCGGAAAAGCCTCTTTCAGAAGTAAATCAGAAAAAGATATGCAATTGTATCAATTCTATCTTTGACAAAACACAGGACCACACTCTGCCGTCTTTATTCATGTGACTAAATTCTGCCATAAGGAACAGACCCTGCACCCATCAATATCAAAAGTGTAGCTCCCATTGATTTCAACAGGAGCAGAGTCGTTGCTATTGTTAGACCCACGTAGAGTCAGCCTAATTGCACTGGCTTGAACTGACGAGGAGTCCTGTCCAAACAAAGAGCCCACTCCTCTTCTCTTTTGCAGATTCAGACTAACACGGCTACCCCTCTGATACTTGGCTTGAACTGAAGCTCATGAATATCACTAAGAGTTTTGACTATTGATTTAATGGGACTTCGAGAGCACGAGATGCCCACATTTTGTTCAGCTACCGGTTTTTTAAAAGACCCCTCAAGAGGGAACGCAATTTGGTCTAAGGGTAAAAAAAATTCCCATCTGCAAACACCCCCCGCCACCAACTGAAAAAGCCTTAACTCTGCCAACTGTGTATATATTTCGCCCATAATATGGACCTACATGATACTCCAATGCATTGACAGCAACCACAAAGGGACAGAGCTCAGGCTTTAACCAAGAATATCGTCGCTCTTTTATCGGGGAGTATAAATATTTTTACATATGCTCTCCTGTCTCATTTACATATTGCAACTCTGAGCAAGAGTAAAAAGGACAAAAACGATCCACCTCCTTTTTTCATTGCACTCATGTCATGGGCTTATGCGATGAGAGATGGTTAGGAAGAACGTTCTCTTTTCTGTCTGCCTTTGTCTGCAAGGGTAAATATTATTTTCACAGAATTCTCCTTTATATTTATTCATTAAAAGTCTGCATCTGAATTAAAAGGCTGGGATTCTGCAATGTGTCATTACATTCAAGCGATGGGGATGTTCTGAGAGATGTCTGGAAGGAATGCTGGACATTACGGGATATTGCCTAAAATTAGAACTTCTTTCTGCAGTTAGGTTAGGTCATTTGTTATATTTTTGTTCATGGCCTGGAAAAAAAAGTGCAAGTATGTTCAATATATAAAGTCAATTAAAAACAGTGCTTTTGCCTTGCCTTGCATCCAGTGCTGGCTAGTTACTAAACCTAAAGACACAGTGGAAGCCATCATGCCTATATATGTGACCAATGACTAATACTACTAACCTAAAAAGGTACAAAGTTACTCATGCAGTTTATAACTCAGATCTTGGTTAAGTATGAATTATTACTAAAAGGATGGTATTAGGGAAAAAAATGTAAAATAGAGGGTGATTTTGCCAGTTCTTAACTACAACTGTATCTATATGTGCTTTGAATACTTTGCTTCTCACAGATTGTTAATACCCATATCGCAAGGGTATTAAAGTCAACTAGGCACCTGGTGAAAAACAGCATAGGAAAAATGAAGTCAACAGGTTCCATCCTGCAAATCTTTACTCAGAGCCTCCGCTTCTTTGGGATTACTTCTGTGAGGAAGATGCTAAGACGCCATGTGCAGAAAAACAGGGCACTCGGTTTTTGAATGAGTAAGGGCCAGAAGTATTGTGCCCCGTGATATTCGCTTTGAAATGTGCAGGTAGAAAAGCTTTTGCATACTATACACAACTGTATCCCAGACTAAGTAGCATGGCTCTGACTCATAAGTGTATTTCAGCTTGGTTGTTGTTCGTTACAACGGGGGAGGGCTTGCTTTTCAGTCCCTCTGTCACACCTTTCGACACGTCGACAAACAGCAGCCTCGGAGTCCATAGAGTCAGCAGTATTCGTTTGTACTCCTTCCGGAAATTCTGGTTGAGGAGCCCGTAAATCACAGCATTGAGGCAGCTGTTAAAATAAGCCATGAAGTAGCTCAGGACAAAAAGCCATTCAGGAATTTTGGGCGCCACTTCCGAGGGGTTAATGGAGACTGCAAGACCAATAAAGTTTAACGGCCCCCAGCACACAGCAAAGAGGACAAAAACCACAAACATTGTCAAAAAATTCCGAACATCAGCTGCTCTCAGCTTCTGCCTGGAGTCTTGTCGGACCCTGTGCTTGACTTGAATCACCAAAATCCAAATCCGTAGGTAACAGAATGACACTATCGAGAGGGGGACCAGAAAATGGACAACCACCACGGTTATGGTGTACGATGTACTTACGGTCTGGGCAAAGGTGCAGGAATAAATCCGGGGATCATATTTCAGGGACCCAACAAAAAAGTTTGGCACAATGGCCACCACGGTGAAGATCCAGGTCAGGCAAAGATAGCAGCAGGTGTTCTTCAGGTTGAAGAGTTTATCGTACCGGAGACTGTGGCAGATGTAGCAGTACCTGTTGATGGCTATGACTGTGATGTTAAAAATTGACCCAATGACACTTAAGCCCATGAGGAAGCCACTGACTTGGCAGTGAATGTTTCCCAGTGTCCAGCCATTATGGAAAATGGCGCTCAAGATGAGCGGATACGGGTACACCGCGACTACTAGGTCCGCTACAGACAGACTGACGACAAAGATGTTACCTACAAAAAAAGGGAGAAGAGAGATTGTGAGAAGTTAGAGTAGGTTTGTGTAGATCTACAGCCAAACTACAAACTCCAGGTAGTTTTCTGAATGCCGTTTTCATTATAAAATGGTTCTGAGCAACGTTGCCTCTAATTTTTTCCATCCTTGGCCAGACATTTTGTTCTGTGCACTGAGGCATGTGTGGATGTGCACCACCAATAGACACACATGCTGCCAGCTGGGAGCGCCCTGCTAATCAGCTGTGCAGCACCTGAATCTCTCCTGGTAGGCCACCCACGCACACGGCTTACAGGAACAGTGTTTGGAGCTTTGGCCCTGTGCCCTCCCCATCTTAAACTGAATAACTCAGGTGGCGTGAGCAGATGTTTCTGCAGTTGCTAATGTAACCCACACCCCTAGACTATGTCTACCCTGGCACGATCTTGTGCCAGAAATATGCAAATAAGGCTAAGCGTGGAATATCACCTCGCCTCATTTGCATATCTAATGAGCCACCATTTTGCAGAAGAGGCTCTTGCGCTAGAAGGATCAGTCTACACTGCCCCTTCTTGCGCAAGAAAAACCCTCTTGTGCAGTGCCGTTATTCCTGAAAATAATCAATGTAGTGGCATTGCGCAAGAGGGTTTTTCTTCCGCAAGAAGGGGCAGTGTAAGCTCCTTCTGGCGCAGGAGCCTCTTCCGCAAAAATGGCGGTTCATTAGATATGCAAATGAGGCTCGGTGATATTCCATGCTTAGCCTCATTTGCATATCTCTGGCACAAGATCGCGCCAGTGTAGACATAGCCCTACTGTGGTTACTGAGTAATGCAAGTGGTACCTAGACTATAGCAACAGTTAACACCAAGAGACCTCTACAGCATAGGCTGGAAGCCAGCTGGCTTTTAGCTCAGAGGGTAGAGGCTCCTATACTCTTCTTCAGAGGTCCCAAGTTCAAATCCACCTGGTGGTGGCTACACCAGCAGAGGGCTAACAAAACAAAGAGTCACTAACCTGGATGACCTTCCAATCAAACAGAAGTCCCGTAAGCACAGAAGCTAGCTACTTCCCAGAAAAACAGCTTTTCCCAGGTGGGCTTTTAACCCAGCAACAGATCACTTGATGTAGATAGGGGTGGTCCCCTGACGAAACAGTTTTCAGCATTACAAAAAGGAGTCACTCCAGCACAGAGTGGAGAGCACACTAGAGGTGTGTCTAGACTACCTAGTTTTGTCGACAAAAGTGGACTTTTGTCGACAAAACTATACCAGCGTCTACACTACCGCTGAGTTCTGTCGACATAACGTAGACAGAACTCAGCAGTTTTGTCGACGCTGGTATACCTCATTTTACGAGGCATAACACCTTCTGTCGACAGAACTCTGTCGACAGAAGGTGTTATTGCCTGTAACATTGCGTCCAGACTACGGAGTTCTGTCGACAAAGCAGCTTGCTTTGTCGACAGAACTCAATGTGTCTGGACGCTCTTTGTCGACGGAAGTTTTGTCGACAGTATCTGTCGACAAAACTTCCGTCGACAAAACGCGGTAGTCTAGACGTACCCTAGGATGGGAGGCAGACAAGGAGGAATTCTGGACCACATGCTAAAGAGTCCATGGATTAGTGAGGAAACAGACAGGGATTCGCAGGAAGGTTTTGGTGGGGGGCGGTTGGCTCTGTATATCCCTTTTGCGAAGTGGATGTGGTTTGTGGGGTTTTGTTTGTTTTTAACAAATTCAGTCTGCGTCCCTGTTGCTTTCACTGCCACCCAGACCCAAAAGGGAGACACTGACCTCCAAAAGGGAGACAGAGGGTTCACAATTTAAGTGGAACTCTGGGAGAAATTCACCTTAGGGGAAATTGGGAGAACTGGAGTTTGTTTGTTTCATGGTACTTGGCAATGGGGTCGCCACGACCGAGAGGTAACAAAGGAGGTGACAGGCATGCAGTCTACATCCCAGAGCCAGAAACTAAACTCTGCCCAGCCCTAACAAACCAAAGAACCCAAGCTCTGGGGCAGCCCCCCGCCCTCAAGGCAGGATCAAGCTCTGTCTACACCATCCCTGACAGATGTCTATCTAACCTGTTCTTAAATATCTCCAGAGAGGGAGATTCCACCACCTCCCTTGGCAATTTATTCCAATATTTGACCACCCTGACAGTTAGGAATTTTTTCCTAATGTCCAATCTAAACCTCCCCTGCTGCACTTTAAGCCCATTACTCCTTGTCCTGTCCTCAGAAACCAAGAGGAACAAATTTTCTCCTTCCTCCTTGTGACACCCTTTTAGATATTTGAAAACCGCTATCATGTCCCCCCTTAATCTTCTTTTTTCCAAACTAAACAAGCCCAGTTCATGAAGCCTGGCTTCATAGGTCATGTTCTCTAAACCTTTAATCATTCTTGTTGCTCTTCTCTGTACCCTTTCCAATTTCTCCACATCTTTCTTGAAATGTGGCGCCCAGAACTGGACACAGTACTCCAGCTGAGGCCTAACTAGTGCAGAGTAGAGCGGCAGAATGACTTCACGAGTTTTGCTTACAACACACCTGTTGATACAACCTAGAATCATATTTGCTTTTTTTGCAACAGCATCACACTGTTGACTCATATTCAACTTGTGGTCCACTATGACCCCTAGATCCCTTTCTGCCATGCTCCTTCCTAGACAGTCGCTTCCCATCTTGTATGTATGGAACTGATTGTTCCTTCCTAAGTGGAGCACTTTGCATTTCTCTTTATTAAACCTCATCCTGTTTACCTCTGACCATTTCTCTAACTTGCTAAGGTCATTTTGAATTATGTCCCTATCCTCCAAAGAAGTTGCAACCCCACCCAGTTTGGTATCATCTGCAAACTTAATAAGCGTACTCTCTATCCCAATATCTACATCATTGATGAAGATATTGAATAGTACGGGTCCCAAAACAGACCCTTGCGGAACTCCACTTGTTATCCCTTTCCAGCAGGATTTAGAACCGTTAACAACAACTCTCTGACTACGGTTATCCAGCCAATTATGCACCCACCTTATCGTGGCCCTATCTAAGTTATATTTGCCTAGTTTATCAATAAGAATATCATGCGAGACCGTATCAAATGCCTTACTAAAGTCTAGGTATATGACATCCACCGCTTCTCCCTTATCCACAAGGCTCGTTATCTTATCAAAGAAAGCTATCAGATTAGTTTGGCATGACTTGTTCTTCATAAACCCATGCTGGCTATTCCCTATCACTTTATTACCTTCCAAGTGTTTGCATATGATTTCCTTAATTACCTGCTCCATTATCTTCCCTGGGACAGACGTTAAACTGACCGGTCTGTAGTTTCCTGGGTTGTTCTTATTCCCCTTTTTATAGATGGGCACAATATTTGCCCTTTTCCAGTCTTCTGGAATCTCTCCTGTCTTCCATGATTTTTCAAAGATCATAGCTAAAGGCTCAGATACCTCCTCTATCAGCTCCTTGAGTATCCTGGGATGCATTTCATCAGGACCTGGTGACTTGCTGACATCTAACTTTCCTAAGTGATTTTTAACTTGTTCTTTGTGTATCCTATCTTCTAAACTTACCCTCTCTCTGCTTGTATTCCCTACGTTAGGCACACCTCCAGACTTCTCGGTGAAGTCACTAGTTTTGAAACAGTTCGCCCTAGAGAATTATTTTGTCTTCAACAAAGGGGAAAGCAAGCACAATACAATTGTGTGCGTGTTGTGCATTCCCAAGCACCAGCTCCATTGCACACGGGGTATTTCACATCCCGCTTAATACCATCACTTAAGTATATACAGAAGTAACTGATACTAGACGCAAGGGAGAGAAAAGTCCCACTGCCAGTGATCCTGGTACAGTATTCACAGCTGATCCAGTTAATAGGCTGCCACAGCCGTTGGAATAGATATCCTCTGAGATGGCATGTCAGCAGGCTTGAGCCTGCACCTACCAGTCAACAGAAAGACTTCCACCAACACCAGCCGGCTTTGAATCAGGCACCCCGTCGTTTTGCAGCCCCCCGGGGAAATGGTGCGGCCAGGCTCTGCGTTTGGCTCATGTTTGCTCACAAAAGTGGAGGAAAGGGGCATCAAATTAGAGAGAGAATTAGATGAAGTTATGAAGTTCTCAGGAAGAGGGAGGGATGAGTCAGCTGATGGAGTTGCTTATTGGGATACACACGAACGTTGGTTATTCTGATAGCGATGTCTGTGCACCACAACACGCACCTGACTGGGGAGGAAAAGACACAGCTTTATTGAAAATAAGGTTTAAAATAAGAAAGAAATCCCGTTTATTTGTATTAAGCTCCCCAGCTTAAACCAGCCTCCCTCCTGCTTGCTTTGGCTCTCCGAAATCTCTGCTCTCATTCCTGCCAGAAAGCCCAATGCCCAGAGGATGGAGGTCAGAATCCTGAAAACAAGGTCCGGCATTTTAACCCGAGCACCAGTTCAGAAAAACAAACCCTGGATTTACTTTCAGTGGGAAACTGACTAGCTTCAATATTTCTCACTGGCCTTATGGAGGGTGTGAACCCGAAGTCCATTTCTATGGCAGCCAGTAGAAAAAGGTCTTGAAGCGTACTAAATAGCAAAGGCCATGCACTGGAAATGCCGGTAGCGCGACAGACTTTAGAATCAGACTCACATTGCCAGGGAGGTGAAGGAGTTAAAGAAAAGCAGGTTGACAGGTGCTTCACCGGGATTCTCTTTTCTGGCAATAAAAAGCCCCGGTGGAGAGCTAACGCAAGGGAGCCCTGCAGGCTGGCAGAGCAGCAGGAGACTGACGCACGGCAGCAGGGCTTCCCAGCAGAGCAGTGCACGCTAGTGGGGTTGCTCAGTCGGGGAGCAGAAGCCTGGTGCATGGATACGGTAGGGCTGCCAGGCTCTGCAGCAGAGGTTGACAGGGCAGCGGGGGCCAGTGAGGCGGGGAACTGGCCAGGAGATCAGTGATCATGCCAGAGGGGCCAGACATTCTGTCTGGGAAACAAATTAATTAGAAAATACTGGACATTTATATGTCCAGTATTTTCTAATTAAGTAAGCAAGTAAGTAAGTTTGATTATTATCAGTACGTAGTTGTGTACTGTGTGAGTGTGTCTATCAGCCAGACAGTACACAACTACACAGTAGAGAGGAGGGGGGTAGGGGCAGGGCTGGGGTGGAATGGAATCCCCAGTGTTGGATTCACCGGCGAACCCCATCAGGACCATGCACGGGACGGGCAGCACCCCAGAATCTGCATATCCCACCATCTGAGATCAAGTGTGTCTGGTATTTTTTTGAAATCATCTGGTCACCCTAGGACCAATTCATCTGCAGCACGTTAGCACATTTCAGAAATCACAGCCCCGCAGAGCACATCACATCGTCATCTAGACGAGCCCTTATTTCGATTTAGCCTTCAAATGATTCCGCGCTGATTGTAGCCTAAGACTCTTCTAATCTAAAATATCTGAGATCAAGTGTGTCTGGTATTTTTTTGAAATCATCTGGTCACCCTAGGACCAATTCATCTGCAGCACGTTAGCACATTTCAGAAATCACAGCCCCGCAGAGCACATCACATCGTCATCTAGACGAGCCCTTATTTCGATTTAGCCTTCAAATGATTCCGCGCTGATTGTAGCCTAAGACTCTTCTAATCTAAAATAAGCGTTCCCACAGAGATTTACAACATCACAAAGAAGTGGGACCGTGCCACCAACAAGGGAAGCAGAGGGGCGATTGCCCCGGGCTCTGGAGATTCAGCGGCATGAGCAGCTGAAGCCCCAAACTCTTTAAATCGCTGCCGGAGTGCCCTGCGACACGTTCCTGATGGCTGTGAGGTCTGCTTGTGGAGGGCCAGGGCATGACACACTCCCGGTGGTGCTAACTGCTAGCTGCCTCCAGTCCCACCCCTTTCTCCCCAGGCCCCGCCCCTTCCAGCAGCATGGCGCTGGGTCCCTTCCCACCTTGCCCAGGGGCACGATGAGGCTGTCTTCCCCTCGGAGTGTGAATTAAACCTGTTTTTTTTTCAGTGCAATTGTATTATACTGAACACCTCCTCACTCTCCCTCCACTCACATCCTTGATCATTAGACTCCCTAATTTCCTAAAGGCTTTGCGCATCTGGATTTTTTTCAGGGCTCAATCCTGCACCCTTTACTCAACCAACTTGTCCCAGCAAAGTTAAGCCTTCCACCCTCATTTCAAAAGGAGCCCTTATGGGAGTGTAATTTGGCATAACCAAAAGATTCCAGCTGGTAGAAAAAGCCATTAGCTTCATTTGTGTCAACACGGCCATGGGAGTTTGCACCACCTGAGGTAAAATGTTTACCACAAAGAGCCCTACAACACTTATGGAAGCAGTCCTATTGAGTCCAACCGGACGGCTTGCATGGATCAGAACTTCTCAGGCAAGAAAATGGGGCCTTAGCTGAAAATCCTAATTCACATGAGCAGTTTCCTTAACATCAAAGACACTGTTTGTGTGGTCAGGCACCCACTGAAGTTAATAGGCTGGATGTAAGGAAGACACTGACCCTAGAGTAAATTAGATCAGAATCTACCTCTATAGGAACTACTCAGGAAATTACAGGCTTGTAGGATGGTGCTGCCCATCTGTACAGACTTCTGGCTTATAAGGCTCCATTTAATATTAAAGGTAGCCTCGAGCTACCCATTGCTCCGTTTTCACTACAGATCCTTGTACATTTTCCCCCTTAAGCCCTTAAGAATGCTGCCAGCAAATACGTTTATACCTCCTTGGAGGAATGTCTTGTAAATCACCATGACTAGCTGTAAGTTAGCCTCAGATGCATCTCTTAAGAGCAAGCATGTTTATGCAAGTGCATGAGCAAATACAAAGAGGAATGTCTTGTAAATCACCATGACTCGCTGTAAGTTAGCCTCAGATGTATCTTGTAAGAGCAAGTATGTCTATGCAAGTGCATGAGCAAATACAATGGCAACAGAAATGCAAGTTTTCGGGTATGCCAGGCATACCAGCAATACACAGCTAAATAATAACCCCATAATCTTTTGCAGAGTCACTGTTGTCCAGAATAGAACCCCTTATCCTGTAAGAATGACCTACATTCTTTGTCCTTAGAGGCATACATTTAGCCATATTCAAAGGTCCTTATCCTGTAAGAATGACCTACATTCTTTGTGCTTTGATGCATACATTTAGCCATATTCAAAGGCGTATTATCTGCAGCTTGAAAGTTATGGTTGTGTTACCGACCAACAATTCTATTATTTCCACACACAAACCTGGAAACAAACCTTGAAGCATCCTACTGAACAGCTTTTACCACGGAAGTGATACATTACTAGCAACTTGTCTGATCGAGATCGATTTCATTTGTTTATTTCATTTTTTATCATAACCAGAACTAAAGATTTCTCTCGGCCTGCACAAAAGTCTATACTGAAAATGCACACTATGACACACAATGATAAAGCGACAGGTTGTAGGGAGTGATTGACTTGACAATGATAAAGCGACAGGTTGTAGGGAGTGATTGTCAAGTCAATCTGCTACCACTGTCACATAATCAAAAGCATTTGAAACAGTCAGCTTCCACACTCAGATTTTACAGAAAAATAGAAAACTGTTTGGAAGAAATATAAATCAGAATGAAAGCTAAAAGGCAAACAGGTGAATCTCCGGGAAGAAATATAAATCAGAATGAAAGCTAAAAGGCAAACAAACAGGTGAATCTCCACAAACAATTTCACCAGCCATCACTGAGAAGGATCACAAGGAAACTTATTACAGCTGAAGGCATCGTTTTTAACTTACCAAAGCTTGTGTAAACTGCAAACAGGAAACAAATTACACACTTGCCCCCAAGCAAACTGTGAGGTCCTAAAAGCTTTGTCCAGCACATAATCTCTTCATTAGCTTTAATAATCTCCCTCCCCCTATGTTTTTAACAGCCACTTAATGCATGTTTACTTGTATGTCACTTACCTCCATTCTACTGACAGAAGAGATCTGTTCTCTAAAGAAAAATTCATACAAATAGCTTCCAGAAAGCTACATTAGCGCTCCTCTTTCATATTCTAGAGAGTACTTAGAGCACCAATACTCTGTGGTAGTAACTATCAGCTGCTATGTCTCGGGCTAGTAATGGTAGTATTATTTTGGGCCTCACCCTGCAAGGCCTTACTGTAGCGTGTAGGCCTTGCATCATTACCTCAGGCCTGGTCTACACTGAAAACGTATACTGTTATAGCTATATAGGTCGAGATGTGAAAAAAAAAGAAACCTCAACACACAAGTATACTGTTATAGCTATATAGGTCGAGATGCGAAAAAAAAAAACCTCAACACACACATGCCCCTTCAGTGACAAAACTAAAACCACAACCTCCCCCAGAAGAGCATTTCTGTCAGCACAGACGACGTCGTTCAGGAAGATTGAGTTCCTACACTGGTAGAAAAACTAACAGCATATTACATCTACCATAGGGGGCTCTGTCCACACACAGGGGAGCTGACAGCCGCTGTGGGCCCCTTGGGTAAGGTGGGGGAGGTGTCTCCAGGCTCCCAGAAGGAGCGGGGTTTTCGGTGGATGGGGCAGGACTGGAGCGTGCTGTGCCATGGCCCACCCCCTCCTGCAGGCAGCCCTCACTGCCTCCGGGAGCATGCCATAGCGGCGCACTGACAGCGATTTAAAGGGCCCGGGGCTTCAACCATTGCCACTGCCTTTGAATCGCCAAGCCCCAGAGCAATTGCCCCCATTTGCCCCTCCCTGTCAGCAGACCTGCCCACCTTGCTATGTCCACAGTCTCCATAGTGTAGCTAGGGCCTCACTGGGGGCTAATTATTCATGTGACTCACAACTACATGCCTGAGTAAGGGGGTTTTAGGAACAGTCCTTCTGCCAAGGGACTATAATCAATTCCACTGTTACATGCAAAGAGAGCATTTCCAGGACACTGCTAGAACGTACAAGGCATGGGGACACTGAGCAAATGAAATAGAAGCAAGTGAAAATCAGGTCAATCAGGTTAATTCCCTATTCCACAAATGCTCATTCAGTTCTCTAGCTGCATATTTAAGAAGTCGGGGAAAAAAAAAAAGATCAAGTCTCTGATTTACATCAGGATTTAGGTTAGGCTACAGCGTTGTTTCATGTGGTCTAACAGGCAATGTAAATGACCGGCCAAATGACCCAGAATTCTGACTGTGCCGCATAAAATGATACAGAAGTAACAGACAGAAAAGAGACGCTTTCTTAATGGTCTATGCGTCTGTGGGAGGTAAGGTTAAAGGAAGGGGAAATATCTTAATTCAAGGCCACAGTCAAGGTCCTTCCAAATACGAAAGCTTAATGCTGAGATTTGGTTAATTCAACTTTTTCCTTTCCTTCAGTGAAGGGCCTTTGAGATAGGTTGGAATTATTCAAAAGTGATTGAAGGGCTGGGGTCAGTAAAGGTTCTTCTATGGGTAGGCTTTCAGAGAGCTACTACTTCAGAGCTTTTTCCTCGCTTTAATGACCATTCCTTAAGAGAGAACAATCAGTCCTCCTTCCTGCACTAAATGCATGTTGGCTTGGGCCCTTCTCTAACCAAGCATGCAATGTCTGGAATGAAGTCATCATACTCTGCCCTAAGAAAGCCTGCAATGCAAAGTCTGAATTTCCACCTGGGTTTTTGGGATGGTCATACATGGCATCATTTGTTGTCATTAACTATTCCCTCCAATATATCATTGGCTGCAAATTTGTTATATAATACTAAATGCAAGTGTAACCCACACACCTAGTGTGGTTACTGAGCAATGCAAGTGGTACCCAGACAACAGTTAAGATCAAGAGACCTCTCTACAGCATGGGCTGGGAGCCAGCTGGCTTTTAGCGCAGAGGGAAAAGGCTCCTATACTCAGCTCCAGAGGCCCCAGATTCAAATTCGCCTGCTGGTGGTTACACAAGGATAAGGCAGATACATTTCTCATGAGCAATAAAAGCTCCCACAGTACACTTTGGAAATCTGTTAATTTCTACTAAGCACTTCTCCCTCATTAAAGTTCACCTCTTCTATACTGTGTTCTACCCTGCCTAGCTGCTGAAGAAAACAATCTGTTACACTTCTAAATTCAGTTTCCTCTCTGATTTTAGACTTGTTGGCTGTGTCTAGACTGGCAAGTTTTTCCGCAAAATCAGAAAAACTTGCCAGCTGTCTACACTGGCCGCTTGAATTTTCGGAAAAGCACTGACGATCTCATGTAAAATCATCAGTGCTTTTCTGGAAAAACTATGCTGCTCCCGTTCGCGCAAAAGTCTTTTTCCGAAAGACTTTTGCGCAAAAGGGCCAGTGTAGACAGCACAGTACTGTTTTCCGCAAAAAAGCCCCGATCGTGAAAATGGCGATCGGGGCTTTTTTGCGGAAAACCACGTCTAGATTGGCCATGGACGCTTTTCCACAAAAAGTGCTTTTGTGGAAAAGCATTCTGCCAATCTAGATGTTCTTTTCCGAAAATGCTTTTAACGGAAAACTTTTCCGTTAAAAACATTTCCGGAAAATCATGCCAGTGTAGACGTAGCCATTCTGTTAAATTCTGTCACTCTGAAACAAGATTTGGACCAGATCCTCAACTGCTATAATTCCGTATAACTCTAAAACAGAGCTGAGCATCTATTTGCAATGGGTGTATTCAAAAGGTTTATTACTTTATTTTGGCTAACATGACCAAATTTAAAATGCATCTCCACATCCTATGCCTTCGAGTCTAAACTATTGGGCTAGGAAATACCGTAAGGACAAGTCTGTTCACAAAATTTCCAGTGTGTCGCATATTACATCCTATCAAGTTGGAAAGAAGTGTTTTTTTCCATGACTCTCCAATGTTTCCACTCAGTCTCAGATGCATTATGGAAATTCAGAGTCTTGCAAAAATGAAGATATATAGCTACGCTACCCAATCTTTAACTCCTCCAAAAAAGGCTCAGTTCATTCTTAATTCAAACACTGAGACATAGTCTGGGTAATTTCTTATTTTCATAGATGTTAAGGCCAGAAGGAACCAATAGATCATGTAATCCGGTCTCCTGTATGAACACAGAATTTCACCCAGCTACTCCTCCAGTACTGAGTCCAATGACTTATACTGTGGTAAAGCGTATCTCCCAGAAAGGCATCCCATTGAGGTCTGAAATCTCAAAAGATCAAAAATCCACCACTTTAGCTTAGAAGTTCACATTTTCATGTGAATTGGTTCATCTGTCACTAATAATTATCCTGTTTGCATATAAGGCTTTGATGTTTTTTTAATTAAAATCTGCTATTTTTCATTTCAGTTGGCCAATGTCATGGTTTTACCCTCTTTTCTCAAACTTGTCTCTGACCAGTGAACTTTCCTTTCACTTGTTTTAATATGCAGCAGCAACCAAAAGGCAAACCCAGTGAACTTTCCTTTCACTTGTTTTAGAATTTCTGGGCCTTAACCTCTGCCATTCCCTGCTATCCGAAAACATCCATTTAATATGCAGCAGCAATCAAGAAGCAAACAGAATTTTAAGAATCGTTTAAAAAAAGGATAGAGAATATCCAATTGCCTCTATAATAAATCCATGGTACGCCTACATCTTGAATATTGCATGAAAATTGGGTCAGCTTACCTCAAAAAAAAATCCATCTTGAATATTGCATGAAAATTGGGTCACCTTACCTCAAAAAAAAAATCTTGGTATTGGAAAAGGTTCAGAAAAGGGCAACAAAAATGATTAGGGGTATGGAATGGCTGCCATATGAGGCGAGGGTAATAAAACTGGGAGTTTTCAGGTTGGAAAAGAGATGAATAAGGGGGGATATAATAGAGGTCTATAAAATCATGACTGTGTGGAGAAAGTAAACAACGAGAAGTTATTCATTCCCATAACACAAGAACTAGGGGTCACCACATGATATTAATAGGTAGCAGGTTGAAAACAAACAAAAGGCAGTATTTCTCCATACAATGGTCAATTAAGCTGTGGAATTCCTTGCCACAAGATCTTGTGAAGACCAGGACTTCAACAAGGTTCAAAAAAGAACTACATAAATTTATGGAGGTTAAGTCCATCAATGGCTATTAGCCAGGATGGGTAGAAATGGTATCCGTAGCCTCTGT